GCTGCATTGACGCTAACGCGGTTAGCCATCGCGGTTGTTAATTCGGTAAACTGTACCGCGCTATACCACCAAATGCAACTTTAGTGAACGAATGGAGTTCCCTTTGATGCAACTTATTCCATTGGTTGTATCTCCGCTGGTTTATGCCCCGGAGTCGCGTACGCTATTCGGGATTTTGGTGCTCGCGGTCAAGACCAAATAGCGCAGTTTTGGCACGGCGCAGTTTCGTGAGCTGCTCGCAGTTGCGCGAAGGGGCCATATTTATTGCCTTAGTTTCTCTGTCGACAATCTGACGGGGGTGGCCGAGGTAAACCCTCTCTTCTGACTTTATCAGAGTTACTGCGGCTCGGAGTTCCCTCGGCGTATTTCGCGGTGCGCTCTGCGGTCGGAAGAATGCACGTTGCATCTGGGATGCGACATCCTCGGAGACACGAGGACTCGTGTCGCACGAAAATTGTATCGTTCGTGGGGACGCATACGTAATCGTTCTGCATCTTGCGCTGTGTGTGAAATATCTAAAGCTCGCAATTCATGCTTGATAGGTGACGCGTACACGTGCAAGATTGGAGGCAGGGATGGATTACAGATTACGTATACCGTGTGTAATAACATTTTCAGAAGTAATCAATTTTCCATTTATAATCGCTGCGGAATAACGGTGGTTATTCAATTTTAAGAAGTTTCAAATTTATGACAATCTAATCCATATCGATAGATTGCCACTATACATGCCAGGGATGGAAAATTTGCTGACGCGAGAACGGGCTGATCGCACCGTTTAATCCCGTCGAGCTTAAATCGCTTGATTTATTCGGGTACTTTCTATCTGGGTGCAACCGGTACAGTGATAGACATACTTACGCAACTATGCCGTGCATAGTTCATAAACATCATACAGCTTTTGTCTTTGCCGAATTTTATCATATACGTTGAATTAATTACAGTTAATTAATTTTGTTCCATAAATTATCCGCAAGTTTAATCGATCTCTCAGGACAAACAATTTTAATCAAAAAAATTTGAAAACATTAATTTAAAAAATTATCATATACAGAGTGTATTCCTTTTATTGTCTTTTTTAAGTTTTTGAAATTTGTATATAAATGACTTTTTTTGTATTTAATTTTGTTCTCTTTCTTAACACACTTTGTTACATCTGCTTTATATATGATTTTGTTCTCTTTCTTAACGAACTTCGTTACATTTGCTTTATATATGATAAAATTAATTTTTCCAAAAAACTATGTGCGAAAATTGTGCTATGTGTAGAAAATTTATTTTTGCTTTAAATAAAAGGCCAATTAATTTTTTCATCGTTAAGCTATATTTTATTCCAATTTTGCAATGCGAAATATTCATGATTCTATTTATTGAAAAGAGCCGATTAATTTTCTGTAGTTGACACATCTGGTTGATTTCTGTTGCATCGAAATCATGAAACTATATTATGTTACTAGGAAAAGGGAGGTCAGAAATGGCTAAGCCGGGGTCATATCGAAAATGCAATTTGCCGCGACTAGACGTCAATTAGCTTTTCTCGCAGGAAATCTCGTTAACAATCCGCTGCACCGCATGGTCTAGTATGATTAATGCGGTCGACTCGTTAAGCAGGCTTGGTGGCCGTATTTGTGCAGACTGCATTCGTTACTTTAAATCTTTTTACTTTTCTACTTTACGTGGAAATAGATATCAGTTAAATACATATACAGGCTGTTTCACAACGCGTAATAGTATTTTAATAACAGTTTTATTAGAATCCGCAGTTTATTTTTCCTTGGAAAAAATATTAAGAAAAATTATAATTATTATAAATTTTCAAACAATCATAGCGTCTACCATATTTATTGTTTGATATGTTCTTTAATTTAATATTACAATTTAAGAAAAATATTTTAAAAATTTAAAAATGTTTATAGTAAAAATATTTAGAGAAGGGAGGAAGGTAAAAATATTCAATATTATTATATTACAATATTGTAATTACTGCGAGAGACAAGTATAGACTGAAAATTTGTTTTGAGATTGATTATTATTAAATTGTTGAGGTTGGTTATTATTAAATTCTCTCTTTAATATTTAAACTAATTTTGCGTATCAAAGATAGGTATCTATGTTCAGTATGTCGTAAAGAAAGTATAAATCTAAGTTGAGAATTGCGTTCACGAATTTGGAATTGCACACTTTGCATAGAACTGCATCTTATAACATTAGCAACATCTGTGAATTTGGAACGTATATCTAATAAGTATTCCTCAATAATCGAAGATTAAAGAAAAAAATTTAATTTTACAAGCATATGCTGCCATTTACATATTCAATGCACGCCCTGAGGTTAACCCATATCGCTTCATGTCGTTTCGCGTCATCGCTAAGATTACTATTCCGTATCCTTCGATGGCCATTTGCCAACTTTGGAACCCAGTCGGGCCGCAATAATAGAGCACATACCCCGCGATTGACCTCATGACCCGACACGTGCAACCGCATTGCTTTACTGGTTAAATCCTTTGCGATCGAACCGTCATGAAAGAAATATCGGAAAAGATTTTTCAATAGCTAAAAATGTGTTACCTAATAATTCATTATCTTAGAAGGAAAAATTACTATTACAAATTCAACTCATTTTATGGCCCGTCGCTCTTCGAGAAAGAGCGATGCTGCGAGCAGCATTTTGCCGCAAACGCGCGAGTGATTTTCTTGCGGATAGAAAATTACGTTGCATCCTTGAGAGCGCAAATAGGAGTTCAAATATTTATATCCGCCGGCCAATAAGTACGCAGAACTTCGTCGGCGGAAGTTCGCATCGCGAGCGAGAGATCTCCGTAGTTATCAGCCTTATCAACCAGATTTGCGAGCGTTCCTTGCGAACAGCTACATTTATTCGTTAATTCGACGCTGCTTTCGCGAAGGTTAAGAATGTGTTTCAACTGACCTCTAACTTTTGTCGAAAATACCGGAGAATTCTTTGCGGAAACAGATATTTTTTTAGTCGCCGTGAGTATAATAGCGCTTTTGCGTTTGAAATTTGTGAGAAAACCTTACGAAGAAAATTGTTCATGGATAAATTGTAGTTTCTTTTTTCTTCTCTTTCTTCTCCTTTCCCTCTTTTCGTTGTTTGGTTTGCGTATTGTAAACTTGGCATTGGAATTTTGATCAATAACAAAGTTTGAAGTACTTAAGTTGGAATGCGTGACGTCAATGTTTTGATTCTACGACTGAGAAATTCCAATCCCCGCTGGTGGGAATTACGAAGTAGTATAAATAGGAAAGATAAATAACTCCGAAGTTAGTATGTGGTTGTCGAATGGTGCGATAGCTTCATCCCCTCGTCATATTATGTGAGCATACTTAGAAGATATTTAGAATACTTAGATACCTAGAAGTATCGTTTTTGCGTTGTTATTATTGCGAGTAGTTTCCTTTCAGTGCTGATTTACTTTATATTTCGGCTTTTGCCGAATAGTAGTTTTTTGATATTTCCTTTATGATATTTCCCTCAGAACCATATTCGGTGAGCAGTAACTGGAGCGGTCACTTAGCGTGTATTTCCCTTTGTGACTGCACCCTTCAGTACTGACCACAGAAGTTCAAAGAATTTAACCTTCTTTCACAAATTTGAAAGGTTTAGTGATTAAATTTGCACTCAAATACAAATATATTACGTTCAAATGTACATAAATTAATAACCAATATAAATTTGTTCATCAAATATAACTAATTTCCTGATATTTTGCACAATGTAACTATTTATTTCGGATACAGCGGATACTTTTATTTGATTCGAATCAAATTAGAACAAGATTAATGTTGAGGGAGAGAGAGAAAGAGAGAATTTGGGAATTAGATCACTTATTCACATAGTGCAAAGAGCATCCAGAAAAGTCAGTTGTAGTTGGCTTCACTGGGAGTGAAAAAATCCCGTTTGCGAGACTTAAAACGCGACGGTGCGTGTGGTAAAGTGAGTTGCGGTGCTGAAAGTGCACTGTCAAGGTAAATGAAACGTAAAAAAAAATGTTTACTGCAGAGGCGCGTACCGCGTTCGTTTATTATTCGTCGCTCCGAAGAACGGCGCGTAAGCTCGCGAAATAAAGATAAATGTAAATTGAGAAAATGCGGAGCTGTTCTTCAAACTAAAGTACGCTATTTTTCTGCTTTCTCTTTAATTTTCGCTACTACGTAATATCACAATAAATATTGCAAACGATATTATAGGATATATCAAATATATTATTTATTATTTATTTCAGTGAAACAGCGGATGTATGTAGATATAAGAAAATAAATTTTATAAATACGTTAGATGCACTGTTTTACAGTTTATTAAATAGTTACATACAACCGCATTATCAAATACTTGAAATACTGTAGCAAAAAAATAGGGAATAGTAAAAGTTTTACTTTGAGTTTGTCTTTCTTTTTCGCACATCAAACCTTTCTCGGATTTATATTACTATAACTAGTATATCTATGCGGGAAGTCAATTTTATGATACAAATATTGCAATACGCAATAATAATAATTTGACAGCATTTATAATCGTAAGACATTCTTCAAGGATATTTTTTAATTTAATTGTTGTGCGAATAAAAATGGTTTCTTGTCTGACGTACATACAACGTATATCATAATGTTTTTAATTTGATAATAAGTTATAAAGTTATTTTTTCTTCTATATTTTGTCCTTTATACATTCAGCTGTACTACATGTTAATTTAATTACGTTTGGAATAGTGCTTTGTCGATAATTGTCTATAATAAGATGCAATTTGATGGCAGATAGCGGGAACTTTTCTTTCGCGTGTACAATGCAAACTTTTAAATTATAGAGTGCTTATTAAATTAATAATTCAAAATTATAATGTTACTGTTTATATCTCATTAATGACCCCATTACCAAAAGTGTGTTCCATATTATTTGAATGTTCGCGTTAATAATTTGAGTATTCCAGTTTAATAATTACATGTTGTAACGTTGCAATGTGATGTCTGTTACAGAGTTTACGCAACATGGTGAATACGACGGACGCTTGCGAGACCCGCGATCCGTGTCAGCATGGTGGCATTTGCATTTCTACGGACAGCGGACCGATCTGCGAATGTCGCACCGGTGATTACGAGGGTGCATACTGTGAAAAAGGTTAGTGAACTCATCATATATTCTGAAGCCTTAAATTAATTAAAGAGAACAATCACAAATTAAAGTAGAAAAAATCAGTTATATTATCTTTTATTAAAAGAATTTTGTTGACGTTAAGATTGATAAACGTTTTACTTTTTCTATGCAGCATTAATATAATATTGAAAATATTTTCTGTATCTTTCAACAAGAAAGCAGAAATATTTTAGCGCTTATTACGATTTCGAAATTATAAAAATTTAATCTATTAATTTTAAAATGTCGAATAATTCGATTTATCAAATTTATTAAAGGCATTCCATATTTTTGCGTAAGTTGTATTCAATTTCAGCTTTGACAGCTTTTACATCCGTATAAATTGGTTTTGTGTTGCTTTGATATTATTTTTACCTCTCTTCATTTCAATCTACATTTTGCCATTTTATGAATTTGCATGCGATCCGCAATATTCTTTCGATTTTTGTACCTTTCGATTTAATTGTCAATAATTTATTAACATCGCAGATTCTGTTCTATTTAAAAATATCAATCACACTCGCACAAAGTCACATAGTAAATTTTTCTCTCAAATATTCATATTTCGTTATAGTTTGCATTCTGTCGCACAACAAATGTGTCACGCAGTTGTTTTAACAACAACTATTCTTTGTCCTTTCTCATTACTCAATTGATGCCTCGTTGCTTTTAATGATAAAATACTTGGACACAACTTTCACGCACATTTCTCGTTAACTCCATATTCGCATTTGTGATCGAGAAAACTCACGTCGCTTAATGAGGCATAATTGCTGGTAGAAATAATAGAACGATTCAAAATGATTTTTCCCTCTCTTAAACCACCGGCAATTAGAGAAGCCGAGCAAGTCTGAGTCGTTCCAAGACGTTTCACCGATAATTACAATCAGATTTCTTCCTCGTTAATGAAGTGCGCGCATAAGGAGTCGTTAACGGAGGCGATTCAGAAGTCGCGAACAAGAGTGATGAAATATGCGAAAATTGTTCATTATACATATATTTGTTCTCGCCATTCGTTCGATGAATGGGAGAATGATCAATTATGTTGAAAGGAACTTAAAGTTTGTTTTAATAATTTAAAAAGATTCTTCTTTTGGAATCTTAAAATTTTATGCAAACAATAAACATTGAAGTACATTAGAAGAATTACTGTAGGTTATTGCAAGGAATTTGATTCTATTGTATTTTTTTTTGGCGTGTTGAAGCAAGAATTCTAATTGTTGTGAATATATTATGATTGACTTCCAACATCAATGCTTTTCTGTCTTTATCAATCAAAATACTTCATTTAGAAATATTAATAGAATGGAGAATATGAAATAAATTCTATGGATTTGCAGTGAGCACTTTTGGTATACGAGTACGGGTTTTTTACAGAATTCAGAAAGCAGTGCACTCGACAGATTTAACGGAGAGCGAGATTACATTTCGCGGGGATAAGCAACATACCGGATTTACTTTAATTGCGATTTACTCTCCGCGATAAAATTTTGCGTTTCCTCGAGCTTTTCGCGAACTTTGTTCGCAAAAAAGAGCGTTTTCGAGCGTGCGTTAATAATAATTTTACTATCCTGCGGGTTTTCTATTTTCTATTATTAGATGTAACAGTATGACATATCTATTGTATAATACAAGTCACTGTAAATTATTTAAGTGATAAAATCTTGCAATCTCATATAATCAAGAAACAAATATGCAAAATTGTCGTTTATATTTTTATTAATTATGCATTATAACTTCTTGATCAATTATTCTTTCTACTATTGAAAGAAAATCTTGATGCGATAAGCAAATATACGAAATTAAATCGTTTTGCAATTCACGATATTGAGAATAGAGTTTATCGTGGAAAAAAGAATGTCTTTATGTCCCGAATAAACAATTTCCCTTTACAGGAGATTGCAACGTGGAATGTTTATTCAAAGGCTCACTTCACTGATAATTGCGAATCTTTGCGAACTCACGGTCGAGTCTTTTGTTGCTACTGAGACATCGTCCAGAAGAACGTGAAACTTCAAAGACACGACTCTTCGCAAAAGGGAGGACAATTTCATTTTAATTCCTCTCTTAACAGCTTTTTGCACGGCGCGATTGTCCTCGTCGTACCTGACAGGCACAGTCGTTATACGCGATATAATGTAATTTCCAGCCTTAATGACCATGTTGAAACGAATGGAGGAAAAAGGGAGAAGAAGAAACAGGATAGAGAAAGGATGAGAGTGTTACAGACGCGTAAGATAAAATAGCGTAGCTAGAAACGAGGGTTGAAGCACAAAGAAAAAGGCAGTTCAGAATTTATTAGGGTCAAAATAATCAGTCTACCGGGATTTCTTAACAAATATCGTGGGAAATTGAATGCTGCTAACGCAAGAGAAAAGAAAAAGTACATGTATATGTAATAGAAAAAAAAGAGCAAAAAAAGACGATTTGCTAAGTAATGAATTATATCGTCTAACAAATCTAGTAAGGAATACATGTAAATTTAAATCTGTAATAACTAATTAATTTTGTAGTTATTCCGGATCTTAAAAAATAGTTGCAAAGAGTGCGGTAATAATTTAAAAAATATGAAAAACTGAATCGACTGTAATAGAATCGTTATATTCGATAGATTCTGTTGTAAGTTAAAGTCGATAAAATAAGAAGAACAAGGCGCTCGTAATATTACAAAGTGAACTCTCGGTAATTTCTCGGTAATTCAGAATTTACAGGATGGTCGCTCTCGACGACTACTCATCGCACGCGCGCAGTTTTTATATCAATTATTTACTTTAACAATTAGGCCATATGGCTTTTTCTATGGTACATATTAATATTCTAGAAACTTGCAGAAGATTGCTCGCTAAACAGTCATCTCAACGGTTTTATCAAGAGAGAAGTAAAATATGACAAAATATGACAAGAAAGATTCGATATCTCGCACACCACAGTTTTTACAAGATGATAAAAAAAAAGATGTCAATAAATTTTTAATTCTTTCAGTAGTTTTACATTCAATTTCTGAATTATATAATTTCGTTAGAGATTTTTTCTGCAAAATATAAATCAGATAATTGTTAGCAAATACTTTATACAAAGGATATGTGGATTATGTTAATTTTAGAATTGAGCAAACCGAGTAATTATGGAATAGAATATAATATTATAAAACAAATTACGATAAATCGCTCATTTCTCATTTTATCTGTCTCAAGCTGTATAATCAAGAGTTTATACTCGCTACGAATCGTTATCTGAATAAAGTGATTCAACTTTGCCCGGCATTTCGCATCGAGAAACTTTGTTAGTTAACACTCGATATTCGCGTTTGTGGAACTGCCGGTACGGAAAGGTATAACAGTCGCTTGAAAGTTTTCAGCGCTTAAATTACCGAACGCTTAACACTATATTTCCTTTTTTTCTAGAAAATGTAAGAATCTTCCTGCGAGTGCGATCGACGCATGGTTTAGTTCTTTACTTTCTTCTTTACTTTCCTTCTTTCTTTCTGTTCTCGTATAGAAGCATGGAGCACGGTGCTGCCCACGGCAGGTGCTGGAGATTACTGGGCGTGGGATTACAGTGAGTCTCGCTAATTACAAATCCAAAGTATTCACGATAACATAATGTGGTGATGCTAGAGGTATCAGTACGAGTAATCAGTAGATTGTATAGTTATGCCGTTCCTATATATATATAGACCCTTTAAGTGCAGCCAAATAGATTCTTTATGAGCGCGAGATTGAGTGCAACGGCTTGGATGGTATAATTTATTGATAGAAAGGAAGTGATAAAGCTAATATTATTTATAGGTATCTAAATATTTAACTATATTTTTTTTTACGCGCAAGGGTATTCGAATTGTATGGAATTTTTTATTTTCCAAATGAACAGGATGTCCTATTTTAAATGTCTATATGCATATATGTATATATATATTTTTTTTAATTACACACACACACACACATGCATATAATTAATAAAAAAATATATATACATAATAACATTATAAAAACATAAATATTGCATGAGCAGTCATCTTGTTTATCTATCGATGTTTAGAACCATTGAGTAAACTACATATTTTATTTTTCCATTTTTATACATTTGCATACAAACCATTTAGATATTGTTAGCCACCCCGTGTAGCTCTCCCTATAGAATAGCAATATAAAAAATATCATCTACTACGTTAACACATTGCCGACCAAACGCTACAAGCGGATAGATCCACCTTTTGGTATCACGTTGTAATAAGCGCTTACAATTAGTACAAATACAGTAAGCGTCAATAATGTCGCTGTAATTCTAGATCTTGAACATCTTGCATTTGCAGAAAGCAATTATTTGTGAGTTATTTTATTAGGTAATATAATAATTTTTAAAAGAGTGATAAAATATTGTACAGAAGTTGATACAGAAGTTTGATACAGAAGATTCATAAAAGAAGAACGATAAAAGATTGATAAAATACATACAGAAGCGATAAAATATATACACGCTCTACGTAGGTAGAGTGGTGCTGTAACTCGAGTAGTTGGTGAAGTGTTAACTAGACCTCTTATAATACACGTAATAGTCAAACTTTACAACTTATCTGTCCACTTTAAATTTACGTACACAAGTAATTTGTTGTACTGAATGCAGTAATAATAAAATTGCCGTAAGGGATAAATCTCATATAAATTAAGAACAAACATTCATCATAAACCAATTAAAACGAATAAACATCACTCATATTCAACGCTCACAACAACGTTTTAATAAAAATTGAAGAAAAATCGAACGATGCACGATAAATAGAAACAAAATAGTGAACGAAATTATTCACAGATACAATAACAAATATCAACTATTGTTTGTTTCTTATTTGTTTTATTTTTGTTGATCATTAATCATAAAATTAATCTTATTTCTATGTGTTAATCATATTCATTAACCGGATTTTATCACATTTGTACTCTATATTGGTTTATATTTACTTTAGAAGAACCTTAATAATTATTTAAGCATTTACTTAATTCATTTAGGGATCTTTTTCGTTATTAAAACAGAAGTCTAATTGTGTTCATTGTAATGAACAGTAATCGATCGATAAAATATATCTAAAACTTTACAATGTTTTTTATTGGGAATTGTATTTTTTACGCATAAAATATTCATGATATTACGTATGCTTAGATAGAGAAAATGAAGGAAGATTTTATTTGAAATCTTTACGAGCGATCCATTGTTCCTAATCCAATTGTTTCTGATTACTTAATTATCGATAAACGAAGAAAATATTTATGATTACGATAATTGGTCTTCCTGCGAATAAATGAATACATATCTGTATTCGCGAATGCTTTGTTTGTTCAATATTGATGAGAAACGAAGCACGTGGATAAGTGATACATTCATCGCGTTAAAGCATTAAATTTCCGTTAGTGCAGTTTCAATCGGTATATAAGCTTACGACGTGGATCAGCGACGAAATCACGTAAATCACCAAGAACGCTCCGAGAGCTGTGCAGCGAAACACGTTTAAGCGGCGACGGCGACGGCGTGAACCTAAACGGAGGTTTAAGCGAGGCTAGGTCGGTCCGCGCATCAATGGCGGTTCTGCGTCAACAGTGTTTAGTCGCTAATTTGCATACCTCGCGAGGTACCAATGCATTCCGCTTGTCCGCTGGTTATACCCGGGTTCCGAATTAGGCTTGTATGACTCAGGTACTCGAGAATCCGAACGTTCATAATGATCCGCAACATCGCACGATCGAGTTTACCTCCGAAACGGATGGAACGAAGGATTATCTGTAATTGAGGAGAAATTGCGAAATTTTTACTTTTGAGAGAATTTCCTGAGGAATTATAAGATTAAATTCAACAAATTACACAAGCGCTTTTGCACTTTTTCTTTCGATAATAATTATGAAAACATTGGTATCTATAAATGCAGGAATATTCCTCGATATTAAATTAAGCCATTGCAGATATACGCTATTGCTCGTAAGTATTTGTCGCCGTTGAATGTAGCCGCTATTATGCGCCGACGAGAGTATCCCCGACCAAGGGGTTAATAACACGGATTACGCTTCACCGCGCCCTTCGCGACTCACCTCGACCGTCGTCGCCCACGGTATCGCCGACAAAGGGTTATCCGCGTCCGGTCGGAAAATCCATTTTCCAACGGCGCGTCATCCGAGACGAGTAAAAAGCCCCACCCGGAAATAGTTGGATACGTTGCATCGGTAGGTGGAAAATGACAGATAGAGGATGGAGGGATTTCCGCGACGATAGTCGGTGTTAAAGTTCTCTTCACGACGGCACCGAGAGAACGTAATATTCTCTCTACGCGGGGTTTATGCCGCGACCGCACGCGTGGAGGGGGCATTTGTGGTGTGCGAAGGATTGCAACAGAAGTGGGCCGTCCGTGTGGATTATGAACGGCCGTTTTGTTACGTTGTTAGCAGATATATCCGACGCAACTACGAAGCAAGAGACGTTCACTAATTAAGTTTTTCGCGCGGAGTTTCGTGCACCACGTCACAGAGATCCCGGAAGAACAAACTCTCCATCCTCCGACAACGTGAAAGATATCTTCTTTGTCATGTTTCATTCTACTTTGAAGCACGATGATAAGCTCGTTGTAGTAAAAAATGGATTTTACCTTAATTATGGATCTGAATCTATTTGAATCTATCTAAATCTTTTTTCGTTTGTTTATTTTCTCTTTTGAAACTAAATTCGTTGAAAGCTTTTTATTTTTGGATTTTAATCATTCGAAAACGGTCTTGACATTCTTGAAACTTAATTTTAAATGCGCTAAAAAATTTGTATTGAAAAAGATAATTCGTGATTTTGAGACATCCCTTTTATACACTGTGTATTCAACGTTTTAAATTATACATCGAAGATCGATACTATGATATTAAAGCAGCGCGGCAACTCTCAAGTCCTTTGTTGTCTGGGCGACGAAGTGACGACAAGGAAAATAAGGTGAAAAGGGACTCGGAGCAATTACTCGTACGTTCCGGTTGCGAAGAATTATGGTCTCCAGTGCGGCAAACTCGCGACGAACTTTACCCGATCCTTAATTCCTTAACGCCTCAGCCGTGCTAAAACTGAGTAAGAGCGATATATAATTCATTAATGCACTCGTCGTCTACCATTCTGTTGATTATTAATGAATGCCAAAGGTTGAAAACAAATTTTGTAAGTTTGAATTGCATTAGTTCGCGTGATAACGACAGTTGGGTAAAAGTTAAAAGGGCTTTGAAAAAAGTGACATGCATACGATAATATTAATTATTATATAAAAACTATTATATATAAGAAATAAAGTCATAAAATAATGTTCAAAAAAATATGTCGGGCACGCAAATTAACTTACACAAATATTCCATGTCTCTTGACAAAAGAATCTTTTTTTTTGCGCAGATGAGAGTTTTAGCTTAGATTAGACTTTTTTATTACATTCGGCGGCTTGGACCACTTTGCATCCGCTGAGTCAATTGGGTCAGTAGGAGGAGGCGTTTGTGCCGGAGGAAAAGGGCTTTATTAAATTTTGAGGCTTAGGCCGGTTTTACACGTGCGGTCTGACGATTGCAATTTTCCGCTGCAACGATACAAAGAGACACAGTCAGCTATAAACGAGTTGTTTCCAATAACTATCGTCCTATAAGTAATCAATATTTATGAAGCGCACGATCTCGTTTGACGAGAGAAATCGGCATTTCGTGATAAGTGGAACCTAGTGAGCAAAATTATTAAAGAGCGGCGATAATTAACGACTGTACATATGTACATGTACCCGATTGAATTATCCGCATTGTGCACCACGGTCTGTGTTACGTGTATACATAGCATATAATATTATACCCAATGGCAGGATATTCGATAATGAGCATTTTGTAAACAGAACCATAATCCTTGTCGAAAACTAAAATAATTTTTTTCCCGATAAAAACATTAAAACAGGGTCATTTAATTAAACAAAATATTGATGATTATATTTCTCTATTCGTTATAAAATTGCAAAAAATGTGACTAGCGAATATTATATTTAGATAAAGAAATAATACCTACTCATGTTAATCCTTCAAGCGCGTCAATTATACGTTAACTCGTATGCATTGAGTCAACAAAAATCATTTCGATACAATACGTTGGTTTATATAAAATGTAAATATTGATTGTCTAATTGTGTGCGCCGATATTGCCCAAAATTAATTTACTTCAAACAGTCAAATTAAGTTTTTTTTTATACAATCCATAATTTTTTAATAAGAAAATATAATAAATATAATAGTATTATCAATAATAATTACTGTTTGACATTAAAACATTTGTAAATCTATTCACCAATTTTGGTTACCATTTTTCAATGTTTGTGAATTAATTCTATATTTTTTCAACCAGAGATCTAAAGTAAAAATCCAAACGTTTTTACATGTTCACAACTGTTGGTTTCACAACTATAATATTTATTCACATTATACCTCCATTTGTGTTAGAGCTTTTCAGTTTTTTTTTACAATAGATTATTTCAAACGAAATAGTTTTGGCATTGTAGTGCAAGAAGTGAATAACGACAATTT